TTTTTATAAATTACTCATTTATGAAACAACAGACGTCCTTGATGAAATCTTCGTTGTTGAGGATGGTCGAATGATTACCATGGAATTGCGCTACATCTAGTGGTCTTTCAAAGTACTTCGATAGATGGTAATCGTCCGGCAGATTCTTGACTAACTCTATTTTCGGTTTGTACAGTTTGACTGAGCTTCGCAGTTTCGCGAAGCTCGGTTTATACGCCAATATGAATTTGATCTTTTTGTAAACGCTGATGATTAAACTGGTTAAATACTCTTTGGATTCGCGCATGTCCTTCGGTGCGTACCCCATGACCACGTCGATTTGCTCATCGAATTTGCTGATTGCCATCAATTTTCCCTGTTGATTATGAAATAATTGTTATTTAAAGTTTCGTGTAAATTGGTGCATTCTCACTTTGATTTCGAGCAGAGTTTCGATGGGAATGAATAGGGAAAGCACGGTGTAAATAACGCTGATTCCGAACGAACTTTCGGAATGGATGGAAAGACTGTCTTCGCACACTTTGTGGAGTTGATCCGGGGATCCGTCGATTATAGCTAAACGTCCTTCGAATCCTTTCGCTTCCAATAGAGCTACCAGTTCCAAGGCGACGCAACATCCGAACGAGTGACAAATTATCTTGAATTTACCATCCTTCACTTCTTTTTCCATCAGCTTAAATTTGCATTTTGTAAATTATTTTATGATGAATTTAATTTAAAAAGATTTCTTTACCGGAAGTATGTTCAAAGCTACGTCTTTGATGGAGGTCTCGTGATCTTGGATGAGCGAATAATGCATAGCCAACGTGGATCCGTTCATGCCCTTCATGATATCACGGTAACTAGAAGCTGTCCCTTCGATTCCCGGTAAAACGATTATTGCTTCGCCTGCTCGATCTTCCTCCGGATACCTTTGAAACCTTAACTTGCTAACGCTCTCGTCCACGAATTGCCCAATGAACATCTTCAATGAATCCTCGTATTTCGTTTCCGAGACTTGAACGCTCACACCTTTCTCCTTGCTATCCGCAATTTCCATCAGCTTCTGCAGCGTCAGATTCCTCATATCTTGCGGCGACAGAAACACGTCGAAATCCATTTCCAACGCCTGCTTAATCTCCACCCCCATAATCGAATCCATCCCGAGTTCGGGTAAAGTAGAGTGCAAACTGACCGTCTTGATGTCGCGCAATCCGAGGATCTGCACCACGCAATCAAGTATACTGTTTCCACCGTTTCCTTGCACTTTCGTAGCGATAATCATGCTCGAAACTACAGGTTCGTTCTGCTTCAGCAAAACATCCAAAACTTCTAAGCAACTCGTGATCCGTTGCTGAAGAGTACCGCCGATCGCAATCTCCGTTTGCTCCTTCTGCATCTCAGCAACTAACCCGACCTAACAACGAAAAAGTTAACAATTTACTTCTACTTTTTTGTTGGAGTTAAAGTTTACGTCGCCAATAGCGCCCCACTGTATCGCCAAGGCCGGAAGACCGTCAAGTTTTCTTTGCTCGCAGATCCTTTCCATGAACGAATTGGACATAGCGTAATTAGTTTGTCCGGGGTTTCCTCGCCCACAAGACACCGAAGAGAACACAACGAAATCTCTAAAAGAAAATTTCATAGTAAAAATTAATAATTTTAGCAATTAATTTACTTCAATTTCGGGCACAAAACGCGACTCGCTTCATCCAAAAACTTCGTGGCGAAATATTTCGGTTTAAACGAGACGTTGAAATCCTCTTCGGTCATGTTCTCGAAGACGCCATCTTTGAGCACAACGGCTAAATTGAAGATACTGAAAACGTCGCCAAATGTTGAGGCTTCTTTTAGCAAAGCCACGCAGCTTCGTTTGCTGGAGCAATCCTCTTTGGAGACGATAATTTGAGTGCCGTAATCTTTCCAAGTTCTTAAACCCAAAAGAAAATTAATTAATTAATTAATGATTTAGTTGTGTTAATTTTACTTGATGCGCGCTTGTTGGTATCCTTTGGTAATTCCGTTCCGCGAAGTCAAAAGAACTTTTCGCGCTCCGCGAATAACGAGCCAATCCACCAATTCCAAGCCGAATCCTCCCAATCCTCCCAACACCACGTAAACACCATCAGGGTTGCAATAAAATTGCTTTGTCGAGTTGAACGATTCGAGACGTTCATGCTCTTTCTGCACGCTGATCAATACTTTCCCGATGTGTTTTCCCGAAGCCATGAACCTGAACGCTTCTTCCACTTGGTCCATTTTGAAGATGTTACCTGGCAGCGGTTTAACGTAGCTCTTGCGAATCGCTTCGGTCATCATGTTGGAAAGTTTTGACTTCAGTTTCGACTCGGATTTGAAGAGGGAATCGAGCATCACGCCGTGGAATGTAGCCTGTTTGCTGCACATCTCCATCTGCAGAGCGTTGTTCATCGATAAATCGAATTTACCTATCTCCAAGAACGTTCCTCCTGCCGCCAAGCAACGAATCGAAGCCGACAATTTCTCTTCGGACAACGAATTCAAAACGATGTCAACGCCACGTCCTTTAGTCTCTTCGTAGATCATCTGCTCGAACGTTGTGTCTCGCGAGTTTCCGATCCTTGAAGGTTTCACTTGAGGAAACGCTTTTCGAATGAAATTGATTTTTTCTTGAGATCCAACAGTGGTGAAAACTTCGTAGCCGTGGTAAAGGGCGACGTGAAGGGCGGCTTGACCGATTCCTCCGCTTCCGCAATGGATCAAAATCGATTGATTCCGTTTGTACTTTGTGACGCAGAAGAGAGCGTAAAGGACGGTGCTGTACACCACCGGTACAGTGGCTGCATCTTCCATGCTCCATTCGTCAGGAATCTTCCACAAAAGTTGCTCATCCGCGATCACCATGTTAGATAAAGCACCGTTATTGACCATCCCCATGACCCTCTCCCCTCTGCAACGCAATATCAACTAATTAAAAACTCCTTCAACTTTAATCTTTCACTCACTTTGCGTCGATTCCCGAAAACTCCAATCCTTGCAGACAATTTTGTTCCGTCCTGTTCCTCGTTATAAGGTCGGCGGTTAATCTTCCTGAAGCGGTCATCACGTCCCTGAAGTTTAACGCCGCGCAATGAATCTAACAATGAATTTAACAATTAGTTGTCTCTCGTAAAGAGAATCACAATAAAACCTGTATCATCTTCTTCCCCTTGCCCGTACTCTGGTCCATCTTCAAGTAACCCTCAATCCACTTCATGCTTGAAAAATCCCCAGGATTTACCACCCTCAAGAACGTGTGATCAACGTCGATCCCGTTTACATCAATCAACGGTAAATGCCTGTAAGTGCCCCAACGATTCTCCTGATAAACATTGATAACTAAATTCTTCTTCAGTTGCTCCTCGCAATGACCCTTAACATTATCCCCAATCAAACATCTGACCATCTTCGTGTTCGGTTCTCTCCTCAAGCAATTCATCAAACCCAAAACACCGATCTTACTATCGTTCGAACGAATCAACGTTCGAGGATTCTCCGCCAAAGCGCCTTGCAGATTTCTCAACCAATCGCTGTGTAAATCGAAATCGAAGAACTTGTAATCTTTCGCGGAATCATCGCATTTCCTCAGAAGCACGTAAAGCGCGTCCTCCAATTTGTAACAGGTTATCAAACACAAATCTTCGGGAATCTCACTACAATCGGATTCGCGACTCAAAACGAAACCGTTCTCCGTCAAATGCTGCAATCCGTCGCGCAATTTCGCGCTTCCAACTAAACGTTTCCCCGTAATCAGCAAGCATTTATCTTGAAGCTTCGTCGATTTAACTTGAGTCTCTTCAGTTTTAAAATCGCCTTGAATTAACGGCATATCGTTCAACACTTCCTCAATCAAAGCTTCGAATTGCAATTCTTCGCTCAACTCCATCACCGAGAACTTCAAATTCGGTATGTTCTCATGAACGATCTGCACGTTAACTCTGATCATCTCCTGCAGCGTCAGCGCATCGCTCTGATTGGGGATGAAACGGTATGATTCTAAGATCGGTGTAGAGTTGTTCTTTTTACGTGGAATTGTCGTCACCCTCAATCCTCTGATCTCTATAAATTCAGACCTGCCAAAAAAAAATCGAATTATATTATTTGATAGTTTTGATTTGATTTGATTTGATTCAATTACTTGATTATGTTTAATTCTTTGTGCACGCAAACTTCTATGCAATTTCCATCCATGTTCTCCGTGAACCGCTTGTGCCCGTCGGAATCCATCACCATGTAGTCTATACCTGTGGGAACGTAAAGATTCCTCGTGTCCTCTTCGATGAGTTTCACTTGCAGCATGTTGTCCATGAAGGCGACCCAATTGCTTTGCCACTTCAATTTAGCCACGGAACTCTTGTACTCCGCGACGCCTTTGAAAAGACCCCTTTCGTAAAGTTTAAATACAAAATTAACAAAACAATCTTCAAGTTGAATATGATAAGATTTACTTGTACTGGTATCCTCTCAGTTTGAATTCCTTGTAAATATCGTGCTCGTTGAGGGTGAAATCTTCCTGTTTTTCTAAAGGTTTCGGTAAATTTATCACTTGGACTGTATCGTCCCCTTCGTGGATGTAACCGGTGACTACAGTCGCTTCATCGTGGCAAATCTACAGCAATTGAAGTAAGTGAATCCATTTTTCATTTTGGAAATTGTAAAACGAACCTCGAAGTATCCGGTGCTCTTGCTGATCATGATGCAAAATTCGATTTCCTCCTGATCCCTCACCGGTGTCGCCCTCAAGAATTTAACATCGCTGAAGACGACTTTGACTTGAGTGTATATCTTTGTTAACATCGCCGCGAACGTTGTCCAAACCAGATGCAAGTAACCGGTTGCAGGAAACAGATTCCTACCTGCAAAACTTATACTATTAGATTATTAAATTAAAGTAATATTAGAATTGATTCTTGTTACCATCAATTATATGACCGTTGATGAACCTCCAATACTCATCCTTCAAGTTGATCTTAACGAACATGTGGCTAGGCTTCTCCATAGTCCTCATTCGACTCACGTGCCAAGATTTCCGGTGATCCCACTTGATCAAATGAGAGATCATCGGTGTACCGCGACTCACCGGATACGTGATTTCAGGGAACAACTCGTGAATTTTGAAGTTTTCACCGCGCAAGTACAAGCTGCAAAAGAATCAACAACAACAATTAACTAAAATGATCGACGACGATTAAAAACTTACGCACTTTCCCAACACTCGCAACAAGTCAACTACGACTTGGCCGCGTCTCAAATCGATCGACACCTCATCGGAACCGCGAACGAACAACACGTCCGATTTTTGCTTGATCTTGTCGCGCAAATATCGTTCGTGGAAATATCTCGCGGAAACTTTCTCCTTGATGTTCAACCATTTCGCGGACGGTTTCTTCTGCACCGGAATCAGCATCTCCAATCGCTTCAGAACGTCGTTTTTGTTTTGCGTCAACGCGAAAGCGCTCAAGACGGTTTGCTCTAAAGTCAGGCAATCGGAAAGGTAGCCGCAAGCCAATAAACTTAAACCGTAACCTTGGAAATGCATTTGTTTAAAGTTCAGTTTTTTCAGGATTTCAGCGAGCGCTAGATTCAAAACGCAACTCCAAAATGTGTTGTTGTTCGTACTCAATCTGTTGGCTTTCATTATATTATCGATGCTGAAATAATTGAATTTAATTGAATTGAATTGATTAATTAATTTCGTTTAAATACTTTTCGCAGATTGCGGAAATTAACGGAATTCGCTTCAATTCGTCGACGAGTTCGAAAGCATTCTCGATGTCGTCTTTGAATGAGTACATTAATTTCTTTTGATCGGTTTCGAAGATGCAACTGGATTCTCTCGATATTTCGCCGGTCGCTGTTAAAATGATGTAACTTCGGTGCATGTGGTTCTCGATGTTGTCTCTTGAAATATTAAATTTTTCGATTGATGATGTTTGAAAATTTAAACAAAAAAATTGTTTGAAATTACTTGAAAACTTCTTGTATTAGTTTGATGAATTCCACGTTGTATTTCTTTTGCAGATCGTCCAGTATGTAATCGGTGGCTTCTCGCGTTCTTCCGCTGACGCAAATCAATCTCGGCAGATCGTCGTCGGGTAAGGTTTTCGTCTCTTTGGTGATTTGGTTCCTTTCGAGGATGATGTGCGCGTTCGCTCCTCCGAAACCGAAACTATTGATTCCTAATTTTTCTTGTTGTAAATTCGATGAATCATTTGATTTATAATTGTTTTTCGCTCACCGACTAAAGCCCTATCGTTGGGCCAAGGCATAGCGTCCGTGACCACTCTGATTCTTCCACTAACCAAATCCTCGATGTCTTTCCTCGGCTGAGTGAACTTGATGTTCGGTGGAATCGTGCCGTTCTCCATGCCCACGATCACCTTCATCATCGAGCAGATGCCCGACGACGGTTCGGTATGACCGATCGACGATTTCACCGATCCAATGTGCAGAGGTCCTTCGCGATCCTTGCAGAAAATCATCCCGATCGCTCTCACCTCTTCGGGATCTCCGACGAAGGTGCCTTCAAAAAGAAATCAACTTAATACCAATGATTCAGAAAGTTTTTTTTTTACTTGATTACCGGTTCCGTGAGCTTCCACGAAAGTTACATCTTTCGGCGAAACGTTGCACTCTTCGTAAACATCCTGCAGCAAATCCTTCTGGATATCGCCAGAAGGATACGTGATTCCCAATTCCTTGAATCCATCCGAGTTGACTTTCGCGTGGATCACCTTCGCGAAGATCCTCCTAGCGTTTTTCGCCTTCTGCAAGAATAAAACGCAGATCGCCTCGGATCTTGTGTAGCCGTTCGCCGCAACGTCGAACGCTCTGCAGCCGTCGTTCAAACTCAAAACTCCCAATCTGACAAAAGCGTGAAATTATTAATAAGCATTGATTCGGTTTGATGATATCTACCTGGAAAATTGTAAAGTTAACAATTGGTGGAGGCAGAGATTGGCTCCACCGACTATAGCGTTCTCGCATTTTCCGTCGCGAATCGCTTTGTAAGCGTGCTCGAAGGCGAACGAGGAGCTGCTGCAGGCCGTGTCTAAGACGTAAGATGGACCTTCGAATTTAAAGAAGTAGCTTATCCTTATGCCTAAAACGAAGCGAAGACAGCTGCAATATAAATAACATCAAGAGATGATGATTTGTAAGAGATTGAGATTCCATTCTGTACCCAGTTATGCTGAAGCTGTGCTTCACCAACTTCTCGTAGACGACCTCCTTTTCCGTCTCCGAACTGCAAACGCCGATGAAGACGCCAGTGTTGGAACCTTTCAGCTCTTCCATGCTGTAGCCCGCATCGCATATAGCCTCGAAAGTCTTCTCCAGAAGAATCCTCATCATTGGATCCATGGCGTCCACTTGAAGCTGTGGGATGCCTACAAATTTATAAATACAATTGAATGAATTTAACAAAAATCAGATTAGAATTACCGAAAAATCTTGCATCGAATTTGTCCGCGTTGTAAATCTTCCCAGCTTTCCTCGGGATTTCCGCATGGTTGTGCTCCCAACGTCTGGTATCCTCATCCATCATCTCCACTTTGTTGTACAAATTCTCTTGGAACTCGAAGACGCTATCGGAATTCGGCAATTTCCCGGCCATCCCTTAAACGTATCATCAATGTATCTCCAATTAAAACTAATCCTCCGTCAATCTCTCACCTGTAATGACGATTTCTTCTCCGGCTTCCGGTGATGCCGTCCTCCTTCCAGCCGCGATGCTCGGATCCAGTTTAACTCCATTTTCATCGTTCGTCGATGAATTATCGATTTTCGTTGCCGTCTGCGGAGGCATCTCTACACTTCTTTGTTGATTTCCACAAATTAAGTACGCTGTAGCTTATGCAACGTGCCGCCACCGACGTTCGCAATTTCTTTTTATAGAAGAAATCGCGTTGATTTACATTCAATAACGTGTCCGATTTTCTTTCTACCAATTTTTTAGCATACCGGTAAACAACAATCACAATGGATATTTTATTCGTCAGCAGTTTTTGCATGAATGTTAAAATATGGTAAAAAAAAAAAATTCTGTTTCGAAAAACAACAGCTTCGTCTTACGACAAGAAAAAAAAGTTTTACATTTTAACTAATCCTTTTTTTTATCAGATTCATAACTATCTATATAACACATTAATATAATAATGTCTGAAACAGAATTATCAGCATCAATTAACATGCACAAAAACAACACACAATATTGCATCTGGGCATAGGTTTACGTAGATCAGAGGTTCCCAAACTTTTTTGTGTCGTAGACCATGATATTGATTTTTTTGTAAATTTCTAACTGTAGTGAAGTTCAGTGTTAAAAACTTCAAGTAAAAATACATGTTAAGTTTTATACGTTTATTAATTGATTTTAAATTAAAACTACTCAAAGCAGAATTTTGTATCTGTTATATAAAATATACGTAACATAAAATAAACTGAGCAATAAGTAAATGTTTTTAGTGAGAAGGATGAACCTGATGCTTTAATAATAAAATATCAACATTTGGCGTGAATTTTGTAAGGTTTAATCTTAAATCTCCTAGGCTAATGCTGTCCAATCTGTTTCTTTTTTTCTTTAGGAGATTGGTAACTTTCCACTAGGTATGACGATGGAAAGGAAATTAAAAATTTCCTCGCTTTTGCAGCCAAAATTGCTGATATCCGTTTTTAAACTGAACCTTAAGTTCTTCGTTTGTACTTAGTTCAGTCAGTTCCTCTTGTATTATAACATTCGTTTCTTCTATGTCACCATATGGGTTAATTATCCACGGTGGTATTACCATAGTCAAAACGTCCTCAACCCTAGTTTCAAAATCTGAATAGAGGACATTTAAATGTTGAACGCAGTTTATTTGTGACAAATTGGGGAACTGGGAAAATTCGCCCCGTCCAATATTTCGCTTCATTAGTTTTAACTCTGGCAAAGAAACGCTGATAAGATGGACTTTGTTTCAATCAAACCATATTAAATTTTCTAAACAAATCTGTTAAATAGGCGATGTGTGTTTTCCACTTCATTAAATTGTCTTTTAAAATTGTATCTTTTGTATCCAGAAATTCTAAAATAGTCTCAAAAAGTGCAAAAAAATCTTGTCAAACATAATCCTTTCGACAGTCAGCGTACTTCAGTGCGAAGGAGTAATTGATGAAAGTATTCAATGACTAATTGAAGAGATTCATACAATCTAACACTCAATTTTTTAGCAACTAAATAATGTATACGTCTTTATATTATAAGATAGTATAATGTAAGTAAATAGGTATTATCAGTGTATGTTGAGATCCTTGTTTTCATTTCATGGACTCCTAATTTTTTTTTTTCCGCTGATGTAGACCCCTTGCAGGTTGTCATAGACCACTTTGGGAATCATTGACGTAGATGGATGAAAGAAAATGAAGATGTGGTATCATTTCTTAGAAAATTTCTGTACTTTACGCGATTAAAATGATTTGGATGAGATTAGAAAAATGCATGCAACTTGAATTTGATCACTGTAATAACATAAAATTGCATTAAAATGTTCAATAATTTTTATTATATCTACATGCGCTTCATTTTATGCAATAAATCTGATGATTTCATGACTATGCAATAACTTATTATTCAATGAAAACTTTATAAATAAACCAATATGTAAATGTTATTATTGGAATATAAATTAGATTACTTTGTTTTTATAAAAACAAAATTACAATAAAATATTGGAATACTTGTATAATATAATTCATTTCAACGATTTAATATGCATACGGATCCGGTGTATATTTGGTTGCATACATAGAACAACTGAAATTTCTGCACTCCTTCACGAATATCTTGTGGTAAATCGATGATTTGCGTGAATCTTTGAAATTGGGATCGTTTTTAATAGAAAGCAGGAAATTGTTGTATAATAAAAAAAAAACTTTTTTTTTCTTTATTCATTTATATAATACAAATTAAAATAGAATATTTATATATCATACACAGTCCTATCTACAATATAGGCACATAATATCGCAATATACAAGGTGGTGTGTTTTGTCGCACATCCGATCGAGAAATGTACACTGGTAAAAAATAATAATAAAAACGAAATTTGTTCTGTACACGACGAGAAACTGAAAGAGACGAAATGAGTTTTTAAGAGAAACGAATTGTATTAATAATAATAATTGGTTATTTGCATTGGAGAAAGTATCAATATCCTCGTATCATCACTTAGGAATGACTCAATAGGCAAATAATTGTTTAAATAATTATTATTAATTAATTAATTTAAGAAAAATAAACAATAATATCGTTTATAATATGATTAAGCAAATAATAATATTATATAATAATAGAGAAAGAGATAGAAAGAAGTGTAGGGTTAAATTATACAATTATTCACAGTTGGGAAGAAGTTTAAAGTAATCATAATAATATTAAAAGGTTGTTTTGTTTTGCTTCTTGTTGTTTGTTCAGTTCTAGAGATGCGCGAGGATCTCCATTTCGGTGGGCATCTCGGTGATTTGAACGCTGTTGCAGGTGTCCGAATGCGAGCTTCCGCTGACGGTGACGATGACGGGACTTTGATCGTTCGTCTGCACGATCGTCACCAGGTTACCGTCCTTGTTTCCATCCAGATCGACGGAGCTGCCTTTCAGCAGCATCTTCAGCGGGTTGATCTCGTTATCCGGCTCCAGTTTGAGCGAGTCCAAGGTGATGTTGTCCAAGGCGATGTCCTCGTCGTTCGTAGTGAGAATGTTGACCACGTTGACTGCGGAACCTCCGTGATTCGACTCGGACAAACTGAGAGATTGTTCCCTGCTGTGGATGATCGAGTTGTTCTGCAGCATCGTCGCCGGTCTCGATGAGGAGGTTTGCGATCGGTACGATGGGGGACAGCTGTATTCCGATTGCGAGGCGTCCCTTCTGCTCGACAGAGGCGCTCTGAAATTAACGAATCAGATTATATAACAAGTTGATTTTTTTTTTGATTGAATGATTGATCTACCTCAGCAGACTTCCGCTGTGACTGCGGTACGTTGGTGGAGGAGACACGGCGTTCTGGATTCCCGCCTGGATCTGCGGAGTGTTGCCGCGGTCCAGCAGGAGAAGCCGGAGTCTGTACTCTTGCATGGAAGCTTGGTAACTGGGAGGTGGAGGTCGGTATTGGAACTCCGGGTACATCATAGCCGCGTACGGATGGTGAGGTCTTCCGTAGGATGGTGGTAGTCTGGGCACGAACCTCCTGGTGCACACCTCCACCGACTCCGTCGATCCCAAGCCGAGCATCGATCGACACGTGGAGGAATCGTGCGACGTCAATCTCCAAGCGACTCCGCTCACCGTCACCAAAATTATACCAACACCTATGAAAATAACAAAGAAAAAACAATTAAACATCACTTTCATCTTCAATTGTTTCTACAACTTCAATATTTCTTTTTTTTCTTCACGTTCTCTAACTACTAATATTCTTAAATTGTTACAAATGTTTAACATTATTTTCGAAGTGGATGGACACAAAAGACGGAAAGCAAAAGCGACACATTTAATGCGCAACGAAAACATTCCCTCCTCCACCTGGTTTTCCTCTCTGGTTCTTTTATTAGATTTTCCCTTAGTTGTTTTTTTTTTTGTTGATTTTTCGTTCTTTCCCTGGACTAAAATTAAACTCGAACCAGCGGTGAAAACAATCGCGTAAAGAAACAAAGTGTGCAAACGGCGCCGCAGGAATACCGTAAAAATGCAAATTTCTCGTACCACTTTTTTTTTTGTTACTGTCGTCAACTAACATCGTAATAATAAAGAATATGAAAAAAAAAATGAACAGTGTGGACAATCGCATTTGCATTCGCAAAGCGCGGAATTTAATTGAGGAACAACTCTGCAACTTAATTTCCTGCGAGACCCATTTTTCATGTTTCATTTATTTCAGTTTTTTCGTTTTTTTCATTTTTCGTTATTTCGTATTTGAATTACAGCCAAACTGATGAAATCACAGTAATGTATGAATTCTAGATCCATTCTAGCTGTTATAGTTTCGGAGAAAATCAATAAAATGTGAAAATACTTCTTTTTTTATAAAGTTCATTTTTCAAGTTTGAACGCGAATTACAGACATAATTATAAAACCTCAGTAATATATCAATACTTGCTAGATTCGACAAATATTCAGCTTTAATACGCATATTTTGAATTAATTCTATCTATTATAGTTTTCGAGAAAATCAATGAAATGTAAAAACACTGCTTTTTTTTCAACTTTGACCGCAAATTACAGCCATAAGGTTAAAACCACAGTAATATATCAATACTTGCTAGATTCCGCAATCATTCAGCTTTCATATGCATCTTTTGTACTCATTCCATCTATTATAGTTTCGGATCCATTCTAGCTGTTATAGTTTCGGAGAAAATCAATAAAATATGAAAATACTTCTTTTTTTATAAAGTTCATTTTTCAAGTTTGAACGCGAATTACAGCCATAAGGATAAAACCACAGTAATATATCAATACTTGCTAGATTTCCCAAACATTCAGCTTTCATATGCATCTTTTGGACTCATTCTATCTATTATAGTTTTCGAGAAAATCAAGGAAATGTGAAAACACTGCTTTTTTTTCATTTTTTCAAATTTGAACGTAAATTACAGTCATAAGGATAAAACCACAGTAATATATCAATACTTGCTAGATTCCCCAAACATTCAGCTTTCATACACATCTTTTGGATTCATTCTATCTATTATAGTTTCCGAGAAAATCAATGAAATGTGAAAACACTGTTTTTTTAATTTTTTCAACTTTGAACGCGAATTATAGCCATAATTATAAAACCACAGTAATATATCAATACTTGCTAGATTTCCCAAACATTCAGCTTTCATATGCATCTTTCGGATCTATTCTATCTATTATAGTTTCCGAGAAAAAGTGAAGATACTGCTTTTGAAACTAAAACTAAATAATTTTTATATTATCTGAGAAATGGTAATAATTTCATTTCTCGGAAAGCAAATATAAATATGAGAACGAAAACTACTTGGCGACGACACAATACTGCATAAAACTTTAATAACTTCCGCCTACTAGACCGACCATAGTATATAACAACGGTACTCATCTCCTTGGAAACGATATCAGATGTCTGAGATGTGCGAAGAAAACAAAAAAAAAAGAAAAATAGAGCAAGAAAGATGTTAGTGTCAGTGCAATTATTCATTTCGCTCTAATAAAATGCACAGGAAAAAAACACGTTTTTCGGCTATAATTATAAAATATAATTGTCGTCTCATTGAAGAAAAAAAAAAGACACGTAATGTTAACAAGATGCATTTGGACTGGTTTCTCTCTTCCCACGGGATTTCATCCCTCCCGCATACAACCTCCCCCCACCACCCACTAAAACGGGATGGGAAGACTCAATTATCGCATTATTAAAGGACCCCGACAGATTGCCAACGTAACTATGGCGACAGATAGGAATTTAACCACAACGCTCGTCGTTATTACGATATTCCATCCAGTTACGCAATCATCATCATTCATTTATTTATTTTTTAATTTTTCAAATCATTATGCAACTTTAAGTACTTTTAAACTATTTGGGATTATTTAAAAAAAAAAACAATTAATTGTAAAATTATTAAAAGTAATAAACCGTTGAGTTCAAGTTCAATTAAGGTTGGCGATGAATAAACGTGGAAAGCAAGAACAAACAGTTTTGCAACAAATTTTCGGTTTCCGCCGGAAAAGCAACCAGAAAGCGGTTCCGGACCGCTCGTTACGTTGCGCTCCGCACCGAAAACGAGCGGTAAATCTCAATTATTGCAGTTCGCAACAAAAAATAAACTTAAACGAGAATCTGCAGTAAACCTGACCTCAACTAAATTAGAATATTATTGGGGAAACACTGGTTTTGTAATCAGCACAAATCTGCTTAATATTCATTTCTTTTTTTTTCTCGTGTAAAAACTGTATGTACGTATGAGTGGGATCAATGATAATCGAATAAAATGTGAGGCAAAGCGCGTAATATGTTAATTCGCTTTTGTGTCCGGAATCACGCTTTTGTTTCGTATGCAGAATATTAATCAGTCGGGTTCGGATAAACCATAATAATAATAATACAACTACAGACGCGTAAAAGAGTTGCACGTACACGTAAATACGCACTCACACGTACGCGAAACTCGCGCACACCCACGTAAACAAAAACAAAACACACGCACAAACAAACAACTGAAAAAAAATCGCTAAATAAATACGTACGGCCGCGGTGAATACGTAACGCATCGTGATTCATTGCATATATTTTTTTTTGTCGGTATCCCGAAAGCAAACAATGCAATTAATTTCGGGACGGTTTCAGGAATAAACGTTACAAACGTAACGAATAGAGAGAGAGAAAAAAAAGAATAAATAACCTGCAATAGAATAAACGACAATTTTCGGTTTTGCTCAAATAAAAAATGGGTAGGCGACGTCCATCGTTGTTTTTTCAAGTGACGTTTAAAATGTCATTTAGTTTTCGATATACAAGGTGGCGCAAAAGTAATGACATAATTTGAATTGGCTGTCATTTTTGCGTCAAATGTCAATGTGCTTTGACATTTATGATGTAGATATATGGTGAATTAGTTGTCAATAAGCCATGGAGCGATACATACGTCAAGAACGATTTTGAGACACCAATTTTCAGATCTAACAGCAGCAGACTTTTTCCTTTGGAGCTTTTTAAAATCTCGCGTTTACCACAACAAATCTTACAAGTCTTGAAAGCTAATATTGAAGAAGAAATCGACAATTTGGAGCCAGAGCAACAATTGATAATGTCGTAAAACGAGCGCAATTATGCATCAACTCGGGAGGTGGCCATTTGAGTGATATAATTTTTCCCAATTTTACACTTTCAAATAAACTTTTGATGAAAACAGAGCTCCTTTTTTTTTCATTTTTAACAAAATGGCAGCCAATTCAAATTATGACATTACTTTTGCGCCACCTTGTATAATAATTGTCAATTAATTTTCGCAAATGGTGGAATTGCAGTAATCGTAATAATAGTAAATAAATTTAAAAAAAGACAAGAGTTATTAAATATATTTTAGTGGTAGAAAAAAGTTAATGAATGTGTATTTAAATGAAACTTTAAAATAAATTAATTGGTTGAGAAATCAATAATAAAATATATGTGTAGAAAAAGTTGCATAAGTGATATTATGTTTAGAATTGTGGTGGAATTACAATAATCTTTTTGCGAATTAAATAAATCTAACAAAAAAAAAGAGTTCTTAAAGATATTTGCTTTAATTAGAAATACATTCTAATTAAATATAAAAAAAATTTTTTAAACATAAATTTCGAAATCACAAATCATTCGTAAATTTAATCAAAGGCTCCTATGGAATTGAAAATGAATGTGTTTCATAGAAAATAATATATTTCAAATGTGCAGACTAAATAAGTGCGAATTGTTGAAATATATGTGTATAAAAGGTTTGCATAAGTGATACTATGTTTAGAATTGTGGTGGAATTACAATAATCTTTTTGCGAATTAAATAAATCTAACAAAAAAAAAAGAGTTAAAGATATTTACTTTAATTAGAAATACATTCTAATTAAATATATAAAAAAATGTTTTAAACATAAATTTCGAAATCACAAGTCATTCGTAAATTTAAACAAACACCATTATAGAATAGAAAATGAATGTGTTTCATAGAAATATATTATATCAAATATGCAGACTAAATAAGTGCGAATTGTTGTTTCTCGTCGTTTTGTACAAGTTTGGTTGTTCACCGAGCATTGAATTCACCACAAAGCGATAATATGCACTCGAAAATCAATAACGCGATGAAAAACGACCAAAAAAAAAGAACATCGAACATTTGCGTTTCGCATTCATCCGCGAAACAAATGAAGCTGCGAATAAGAACAAATGCAAAACAAAAGCAAAGACCCGGTTACGTAATAGAAACGTCTTTCCTCGGGTATTTTCCGAGGTTCGAGCGCGCGATAGGTTTCATTTACCGTCGCAATTAAATCCGTTGCGTAACGGCACTCTCGCGCTTATTACTATTACCATTATTCGCCGCTCTCGCATTCAATTTTCTTGCGGCCTTTCCTCCTTCACCTATTTTTTTTTCTTCTTTTCTTTTTTTTATTATTATTATTGTAAAGTGTGTTTTGCCGTTTGTCGTCTTTCTCCGGATAAAATGCAGTTACGCGTTACACATTACAGTTTCTGGCTTGGAAGGGCGAGGCTTCCATGCGAAGGAATTTCATAAATCCAAAGAGTATTTTGCAAATGATATAAAGACATAGGAACATAAATAAAAGGTATTCAGACATAATAATAATGATGATGATCGTCGGGGAATTTATGAAATTTCCAGCTAATGAAAAACTTTCCGAAATCCTTCGTCCTCAAAACAATGTCTTCTTCGTCTCCGACGCGTTAACACCCTCTTTTTTTTTACTTCTCTCTCCGTTTTGCTAAGTCTCCCTTCTCGACCTCATCGGATGAATTACGCGTTTGTAAGAAGCGGTGGTGGCTGTGGCGGTAGCAGCAGGATGTTGCAGCATTTTTCATGCTCACGAGAAACTTTCATTTAACGGACATATTTATTATCGTTTTTAATATCCGACTTTACTAAACGGCGCTTTATGAGAAACAGCATGTACGAATTATGTTTTAATCAAATTTCCATAATGAAAAATAACAACGAAATTTATATTTTATTTCAAAAAAAAAAACCTGGCGCATCCACCTTTTTCTAAACCTAGTATTGATTGAAATAAATAAGAAAACGCGAAAATTTATAATAAAATGAAATTCGCAGATTAAATTCAATTTGAACTTATCGTCGATTTTATTCCAGGTAAAACTAAGTTTTCACGCCTTTCCTATGCATTTTTCTTTTCCCTCCGGCGCTTTTCCGACTGATCCGATTCATTATCGGCAGATGTTGGATAGAAGCTGCGATTTTGATGTTGGCGAATAAGGAGAAAAGAAAATTTGCAAGTGTTAGTTAAATTGCGAGCATAAAAGATTCGTCTCTTCTCACCCACTTTACAAGCATTGAACGAGGGAGGCGATGGGGGAAAAAAAGAAAGTTTAATTTTCGCTAATTCAATTGCAATTCGTTTTTTTTTTCTCTTCTTCTGAGCGGGGGGTGGAGAAGGTTTGGTAATAAAACAGACAATCCCTCTTCTTTATTTCGTTTTCGCACTTAAAAGCTATTCTCTTTTCTCCCCTTCTTGCTGCTGTTGCTTGCAGAGCGTGAACTTAATGGTATGTGCTTTTGCTTTTTCGGGGGGTGTGTTGCATCCATATTTAAACTTAATTTTAATTAAGAATTAGGGGAAGCGAAAAGTGTGTTGAAGGGGGTTTCTCAGAATTTAATTGGGTCTCATATTAGAATGCTTCATTAAAATAGTTTAACGTAAAATTTGCAGAAATTCTTTCTTTTTAAGAACGTTCCACGATTCAAGCCTAAATAAGATTAGTTTGTTTAATTAACTTAATATTACGTACACGTAGCAACTAATTGCATTAATTATGACATCTATTGTCAAATAAATCTAGTTTAATTATTGGCTCCATCTACGACGACTTCTTGAACTACGATTGACAACATATAAAATATTAATACGTATGCAACACATAACGCACTTGCAATTAATTAGGTATGATTATGTATAATATAAAACGTATTAAATTGTAGTTTCGTCAATTATCAGAAATTAGTATCAACTAGAATGTTGTTATGTAAATATGGTTGCCTATGATAGCTTGGAAAACTTTTGAACTTTAATAGAAACTGTGCGAATTCATTGAAGAAGTAGGTAGAAACAAAGAAAAAAAACAATATGTTTGGATCGTGCGGTGAATGTAATCTTACCTATCATAAGTAGAGATACAGTTAGATGGTCTCTGCCGGCCGGCCTCATGGCCCCGAGAGCGGTGCCAACGAGGACACAGCACACTGCGACGAGGGCGATCAGAGCGATGAACCATCGCAGGGACCCGGGTCTCCAGGCCAGAAGACCGCAACAGCTCTTCGGCGGTTCCTCCGAATAACGACTTCTGCAACAAACAAACAAATGTTAACATCAGCGCTTTTACGACGAGTAGCCAAGGACACGAAGAAGTGTGACCTTGATGGGAAAGACATATGTTCGCATGCACATGTCGCGAACGGTACTCGCGTCGCAACAATATCCATGTATCGATGTCATTACGCAACGCGTATGAATTATATAAATCGTCGGCACTCTTTACATATTCATAGCGAAACTGCAGCCCCACGCAGGTAACAGCGACATCTATTATTAATTAATTAATTAAGTTTAGAAAACAGTTATGAACCCTCTTTTCGGGCTTTCCAATTCGTTATTAATTAACTTTACCTTGAAGTTTATATTTCATTGAAAAAGCTTTATTTTATTATTAACAATTTAACGTTTTTCGAAACAGCAGGCTTGCATGCAACAACGACATCTATTATCAATAAATTAACTTTGGAAAACGCTTATAAAGCCTTTTTAGGGCGTTTCCAATTTGTAATTAATTATTTTAAAAATTTTACTTTTTTGAAACTGCAGGTAACAACGACATCTATTATTAATTAATTAAGTTTGGAAAATGGTTATAAATCCTCGTTTCTAATTTGTAATTAATTATTTTTATTAAAATTGAAAAATTGAATTTTAAATTTCATTGAAAAAGCTTTAATTTTTGTATTAATAATTCAACGTTTTTCGAAACAGCAGGATTGAATGCAATAACGACATCTATTATTAATAATTTAAGTTTGGAAAACGCGTTTATGCCTCTTTACGACGTTTCCAATTTGTAATTAATTATTTTAAAAATTTTACTTTTTCGAAACTGCAGGTAACAACGACATCTATTATTAATTAATTAAGTTTGGAAAACGCTTATAAATCCTCGTTTCCAATTTGTAATTAATTATTTTTATTTAAATTGGAAAACTGAATTTTAGATTTAATTGAAAAAGCTTTAATTTTTGTATTAATAATTTAACGTTTTTCGAAACAGCAGGCTTGCATGCAATAGCGACATCTATTATTAATAATTTAAGTTTGGAAAACGCTTATAAAGCTTTTTTAGGGCGTTTCCAATTTCTAATTAATTATTTTAAAAATATTGCTTTTTCGAAACTGCAGGTAACAACGACATCTATTATTAATTGATTAATTAAGTTTAGAAAACAGTTATGAACCCTCTTTTCGGGCTTTCCAATTCGTTATTAATTAACTTTACCTTGAATTTTAGGTTTCATTGAAAAAGCTTTAATTTATTATTAACAATTTAACGTTTTTCGAAACAACAGGCTTGCATGCAATAATGACATCTATTATTAATTAATTAAGTTTGGAAAATGCTTATAAATCCTCGTTTCCAATTTGTAATTAATTATTTTTATTAAAATTGAAAAATTGAATTTTAAATTTCATTGAAAAAGCTTTAATTTTTGTATTAATAATTTAACGTTTTTCGAAACAGTAGGCTTGCATGCAATAACGACATCTATTATTAATAATTGAAGCTTGGAAAACGCTTATTAAGCCTCTTTACGGCGTTTCCAATTTGTAATTAATTATTTTAAAAATTTTACTTTTTCGAAACTGCAGGTAACAACGACATCTATTATTAATTGATTAATTAAGTGTAGAAAACAGTTATGAACCTTCTTTTCGGGCTTTCCAATTCGTTATTAATTAACTTTACCTTGAAGTTTAGATTTCATTGAAAAAGCTTTAATTTATTATTAATAATTTAACGTTTTTCGAAACAGTAGGCTTGCATGCAATGACGACATCTATTATTAATTAATTAAATTTGGAAAATGCTTATAAAGCTTTTTTATGGCATTTCCAATTTGTAATTAATTATTTTACTTTTTCGAAACTGCAGGTAACAACGACATCTATTATTAATTAATTAAGTTTGGAAAATGCTTATAAATCCTCGTTTCCAATTTGTAATTAATTATTTAAATTGGAAAATTGGATTTTAGATCTCATTGAAAAAGCTTTAATTTTTGTATTAATAATTTAACTTTTTCAAAAAAATTAAAGATTATTTAATAGGAAGAGCATGAAAAAAACAAAACGTTCTTCGTTCTTTTGCGATTAATTTTTCAACAATGCTTCAGCTCGACGAGTGGGGTTTAGATGCGAACTCCTCGAGTTAACTGAATCGCACTCGTCTCTACAACCTCATTACCGCATAGTTTCTTGCCGCTCATTCATCCTGCTCATTTACCTCACTTATAAATGACACACATTCTTTATTGTTTTTTTTATAATAATGCAAAAGTAAATTAAGATTTTTGTGCGTCACGAATTTATAAATTGTAATTTTTAGTTGAAATATGATTGAAAACATGGATGGTCTTGGAGCGCAGCAAATTGCTCGCATGTTTGATATTTGGTTCGCAACGAGAGTTCGGTTGAGGGTAGAGTGGAGTTTGCAGAGGGATGGTTTTGTTGGTAGTATTGGAGAGGTTTTGCAGGAAGAGGAAGGAATACAGGAGAGAGAGGGCAGGAAGCGAACGTGATTACGAAAATGATATCCATTCAATTTATCGGTTCGATAGGTGGATAAGTGAATTAAAATCAAGATTAAAACTCCACCCAGTCCATTTGCAGTTTTCGCTTGTTTCCATTTCCCGCAAACAAACCGGGAAAACAAACGCCAAATTCGAAACGCAAACCCTGATCAGAAATACGTCCAAATCGGACATAATGGAATAACCACGATGGATCATCGAACTTTGTAAAACCCTTCAATTGGATCAGCTGATGATTAAATCGCAATGGTCATCGCAGGTAACAACAACACATCACGCTCTGCGGTTCTTCGATTGATCACAAATCCGCGCTCGCAGTTTGGAAAGTGGATTTCTAAACAACATTTCGGTTGCAATTCCACCACAATAACAGAATTATCGTTATTCCAATTTTATTGCGTATTGTTTCAAATTTTCTTAACAATGATTATAAAACGAAAAATAATAACAGTGCATTGTTTATTCGTGGACAAACCGCAATTAATATTTGCGCTTCAACATTCCAGGGGCATTCTGTAAGAAAATTCTAAAGACGAAAGTAATTAATTAACTCTCGAGTCCCGGCGCTCTATTGTGCAAAACCACCGACCGATTCTCTACTATTGCTCAACAATCGCGATCAATCATCTTCGGAATGTGCATCAAACGCGATCCGACAAAGCATTTCGAATATTTGTTCAAACACATTTTACTTCCTTACAAATTATTCATTTTTTTTAATTAAACCGCATAAATATATGCATTTCTTTGATATATTTATTAAATGTCTATTTGTATACTAAATAAATATCCAATGAAAACTTAATTAACTTTAGTAATAAAGAAATGACAGTAACTTAAAATAGTAACGATACTTTTATGACATTTTACTTTAGTAAGATTTATTTTAATGAAACAATAGAAATATATATATTTTTGCTAAACAATCATTTATTTTGTCTAATCTATACTAAATGATTATCAAATGAAAACTTAATTAACTTTAGCAATAAAGAAACGACAGTAACTTAAAATAATAACGATACTTTTATGACACTTTACTTTCATATGATTTCTTTTAATGGAACAATAGAAATATATATTTTTGTTAAACAATCATTTATTTTCTCTAATCTATACTAAATGATTATCAAATGAAAACTTAATTAACTTTAGTAATAATAAAATGACAGTAACTTGAAATAGTAACGATACTTTTATGACACTTTACTTTAATATGATTTCTTTTAATGAAACAATAGAAATATATATTTTTGTTAAACAAACATTTATTTTGTCTAATCTATACTAAATGATTATTAAATGAAAACTTAATTAAATTTAGTATTAAAGAATTGACAGTAACTTAAAATAGTAAAGATATTTTTAAGACACTTTATGTTAATATGATTTATTTTAATGAAAAAATAGAAATATATATATTTTTTTTAAAATCATTTATTTTGTCTAATCTATACTAATTAATTAACAAATGAAAACTTAATTAACTTTAGTAATAAAGAAATGACAGTAATTTAAAATAGTAAAAATACTTTTATGACACTTTACTTTAATATGATTTATTTTAATGAAACAATAGAAATATATGCTTTTGGTAAACAACCATTTATTTTGTCTAATCTATACTAAATGATTATCAAATGAAAACTTAATTAACTTTAGTAATAAAGAAACGACAGTAACTTGAAATAGTAACGATACTTTTATGACACTTTAATATGATTTATCTTAATGAAACAATAGAAATATATACTTTTTTTTAAACAATCATTTATTTTGTCTAATCTATACTAAATGATTATCGAATGAAAACTTAATTAACTCCTTATATGACAATTTTTTTCTTCACTCTAATCTGTACTAAATAATTAACAGATTTAAACTTAAATAATTAAAACAAAAGAGAATTGACAAAAAAAAACAAATGACGATGAAATAAAACGCTTCATTTTTGACACAGCATACTAATTTATTGATTTTAGTAACATTTTAATATTGAAATTTCTTGTTTTTCTTTTTAATAGTGAGAAACTGAGAAAGTTGCAATTGAAACCGTATCATTTTTCGCTCCCAACTTTTCAAATTTCCCATCCTTCATCGCTCCCAACAACAAGAAAACGAAAAAAAAAAACTCCCTTCTAATTCAATTGAACCGCGCGTAACTTTTCCCTTTTTGCATCCCTCATCTCTCACCGCCTCCCAATTAGCATACTCATTCGGAGTTTTCAATTCTGGGTCTAAATATCCACCCTTCCGGCGCTCTCAATTTTAATAATACACAACCGCTCGCTTTTGTTTCAGATCATTCGCGGCGGGAAATTCAAATCTCGCAGAAGACCACGTCTTCAACAACGTCCGACGAGATGCGGAGAGGTTACAGAGAGGTTACCCGGCCAAACAAACTATTCTTCGTCCCACTTTCGCAAACTACTTTCTTAAAAGTGTGTTATTCGTTGCTCCTTCTCATCATCATCATATTAATACTCCT